GGACCCGCGGCTGCGCGAAGGTGTAGCGCCGGGGAACTTATTTTCCTCCACTGCTGTAGATATGTCAGTAACTCCATTATTATTATTGTCATTAGGTGGGTATTTTGGATGGCAGACCTCGGGATTTGAGCTACTCCCAGTTTGATGTGTCACATAGATTTTCTCTCCAACGAGGGTTCAGTCAGGCGTTGATCAGTCAACCGAAATTCTTCGAGACCAAGTCCAGTTGCTTATTTGCTAGGGGAATTGCTTCACTTTTAGGAGTTTCATACAAGAACTTGCAAACTTTATCTGAAAATGTGGATTCGTTGTAAATGTTGTACTTTTGAGGTTGTGGCCCCGGCAAAGTTTTGTGTAGTGTGAAAACTGGAGTTGCTCTTTTTTTCAGGAATAAACACTTAAAAACGCATAGTCTGTGCCTGAGCTCATGTCGAGCGGTCAGAATTGACTGTTTACCTCCCACTCCCAACACTGTTTCTCATTCTCATTGAATATGGCATGTTGAACATTTGACTAACTTTATTAATCTTCATCCATGAGTGGTACAGTTTTCATTGCTTTTTCCGTGTGCTATCCTGGGGATTTTTTTTTAGCATTCAAAACTGCAAATATATTTGCAGATAACAAAACGATGAGCTGTGTTTTCTGAAAATCTAGTCCTGGGATTTAAAAAGAGCCAGATACCAATTCCAGGTGAATGTTCTGACATTTGAGCACACTTTAGAAAATCGCTGCCTCAAAGGTATAGAAGATATAAGCAAAATTAGAGCTCTGATGTAAAAAGCAGGCAGAGAAACAGAACTTGTTTTAATTTTGTTCACTTGCTTCACTATCTCTTGTATATAACCTTGTCAATTCCCTGTTCCACTGAGGATGTGTGCCCCTCTGATGAGCCCATTTATGACCCATGTATATCAACTTCTTGCTTAAGCATCTGTTAATGAGATGGGAGTCTCATTTGTTAATGAGATGGGAGTTGTGAATGCAGCTGCAGACTCAGCATTCAAAACTGTCTGGTTACCCTCTGACTGAATTGTCACTGCTAGATACATTAAAGCTTTCAAAACTTTCCAAAGGAGTGTGTGATTTCAGGCAGCCAGTATTTAATTTTCTGTAACATTACAAAGTTAGTGTGTTGATGGTACTTTTTGACAGAATTTGGTCTATGGGCAACCTCAGCGTCTCTGTTTTTATCCACAGTTGACTTAGAAAAGTGTAAACATTGACAGAAACCGAGCAGCAGATCTAATAACACATTTACTAGATCAGAATGAAGGATTTAAATACTGTAGTTACAAGTATGTAAGTCACACCTTGGAACAAGCACTCTGGAAAATAAGTGCCAAAACTTGAAAGTCTTTGCTATCTTGAATGTTATCAGTAGCAATGGGGAACCAAAGGTGAGACAGCAGTGGGAGATGGGGACAGTCGTAGTGCTGGAAAGAGCTCTGGGATGCAGTTGTGTGGTGCAGTGTGTTTTGCTGCACAGTTACACCTCCGAGATAACCTGAGGCCTATGTGGCAAGGAAACCACTTTTGTCTGGATTTGGCAGCATGTGAATTACAGTTCAGCAGAGACCCACACTCATGCCTTTAGCTTCAGCACTGTAACATGGGAGCAGCTGAACTTATCTACAGCAGAGCCTCAGGATGTGCAGCATCAAACCTGTCTACCCAGAGCCCCCCAGTTACACTGAGCCACCAAAGGGTTGATATACAGAATGAATGGCAGATAGTTTGGTGTCTTAGAAATGCAACAGTGGGACTGAGTTTTTTCCAGGTTAGAGGATCATAATTTTGGGCCCGTTCAGCCTGGAGAAGAGAAGGCTCTGGGGAGACCTTCTTGTGACTTTTCAGTACTTAAAGGAGGCCTATTAAAAAGGTGGGGACAGACTTTTTATCAGGACCTGTTGTGGCAGGACAAGGGATGATGGTTTGAAACTAAAAGGGGAGGTTTAGACTAGACAGAAGGATGAAATTATTTAGGCTGAGGGTGGTGAGACCCTGTCCCAGGCTTCCCAGAGATGAAGGTGGTGGATGCCCCATCCCTGGGAACATTGCAGGCAAGTTGGCTGGGGCTCCAAGCAACCTGTTCTAGTTGTAGATGTCCCTGCTCCCTGCAGGGATGACCTTAGCAGGTCCCTTCCAACCCAAATAATTCTATGATTCTGTTAGTGGAAAAATGTGCCCTATGAGTGATTTTTATTTTTTTTTCTTCTAATTTGTGGACAGATATCGTCAAATATTGGAAAAAGCCATTCAGCTGTCGGGTGTAGAACAACTTGAAGCTTTGAAAGCTTTTGTAGAAGCAAGTAAGTGCATCTGGTATAATTGGTTGCGCACTGAGTGAAGGCCAGAGGTCTGTGGGGTTGTTTGGTCAACATCAGACTATGTGAATACATGATATTTTGGTCTTACTGGAACTCAGACCCAACTAGAAGAGGAATGATTGCCACATTCAGAAGTTGTTAAGGGAGAATGGACTTTTAAGCTTTGTAAGTTACAGATTTCCAACCTGTCAGTGACAGTGTCATAAGGTGAAAACAAAGTAGTCTCTGTTGAATGCTAAAATAGATACTAGATGCCAAGCAGTATTTAAACAACCTCCTCCCTCCCCATCTCAAGTTTGAAAAAATGTCAAGAAGAAATGGTATGGGGTCTTCTGTGTTGTGTTGGGATGTTTGGCCAATTGAATACCTCTATAAATTACACCCGTGGTAATGTTTTGAACTTGAGAACAGTGAAATTTAGCCTAAAAGTTTACTTTGTCCAAGATATTTCAGCAAATGAGAACAGTGATTCAGAGTGAAACCTCTTGCTACCTTAGAAATCAGAATGAGAAATTCTTCACTATCTGTCAGCAGTTACAACTCTGGTCACCTCTAGTGTAAACGAAGTTCTGAGAAGAGAAAATTCACCTTTTAAAACCAGGGAAAACCCCTCTTCACTTGGATTCATGTTTTTAAAATTTGAAATACTCAAATTTATAGAGAAAACGATAACTTACAGTGAAGGCACTGACAAGCATTGCATCCATCTTGGTTTTCTTCCATGTGTCTGAACCAGTGGTGAACGAGAATGTCAGTCTAGTGATCTCACGTCAGCTACTGACAGATTTCTGTACCCATCTTCCAAGTCTTCCTGACAGCACCGCGAAAGAAATTTACCACTTCACCTTGGAAAAGATACAGCCTAGAGTTATTTCATTTGAAGAGCAGGTGAGAGATCAATGATGAGGGGTTTTATTCTGCAGGCCTGGCTGTTTTGTTGTTGGGTTTGTTTTTGTTATTTTATGTGCTGTTTTAAGTCTTTAAAAAAACTGTTCAAAATCTTGCATTCCTGAACATTCAAAACCTGAGCTAAACGTGGAGAGTATTTAGGACCATGCAAAGGGTGCAGACTTCTCTTTGTCCGGCTGCTGGGCGTGTAATTCCTCTGCCACCAGAAGATAGCTTTGCAAAATGGAACAGTACTTGAGCGACTGGAGGTACTGTCAAGACACCTACTGGTACTCATTGTGCTGCATCTTACCCAGCTAACAGAACAGGCGGGTGATGGAAAGAGAGAAGTATCTTGACAGACAGATTTTGTTTCAAAATAAATATCTATGTCTATCTGTGTGTGTGTTTTAGCCATAATCATTTTACCAGGAAGAGTTTTCTTGAAATCCCAGTTGTAGTTAGGTAGTACACTTCTGCTCTTTCCTGATTCAGTTCTTAGTTTTGTTGTATGAGTATTCACTACCATCTGAGAATTCTTATAGAAAGTGTTTATAGAAAAAGCCTTTAGGATCTAGTATTTGGGAATAAAAGGCAGTTTGTCATGATTTGTTTTTGCTTCTCTTTGTCTGGTCTTTTTAAACAGCTTTTACTCCGTTTTAACATGCTTGCATATATGAGTATGCATAAGTTATATCCAAGGTATCAGCTGATTTCTTTGTTTTAATCACACTTATGCTTATAAAACCCAGATTCTAAGCACTGGTATTTTACCTGCTGAGAGTTGCTCTACAAAGTAGAAGTTTCTGAATCAGGATCTAATCACAGTTCACCTCATTCATATATCACAGGCATGATACGAGCTATAATTGTGAGAAATGGCTTGTGAATCTTGGTGCTTCAGATCTTGAAAGTCTCGTTTCATCTTTTTAAAAGCTTTGTAAAAAATTACTACTTATGGCTCCCTGAAGATAAACTCCTTTTATCTTGTCACAAGCTTAAGTGTAAATGCTTCAAATCATCACTCATATTAAAAAAAAAAAAATAGTAATAAAGCTTGATCCAGTAGTCCCATGCAGGACTTCCTGTGTGGAAAGAGTTAAGTGTGTGGAGGTGGTTGTGTTTGTGGAGCTGGGGTATCAGTTCAGGGTTTACAAACAGGAAGAAATACTGTGAAAGTGAATGCAGAACCATTCAACTTTTATAGTGTCTGCTATTGATTTTATTATTGCTTAGGTCGCTTCAATAAGGCAACATCTTGCATCAATCTATGAGAAAGAAGAAGACTGGAGAAATGCAGCACAAGTATTGGTGGGGATCCCTTTGGAAACAGGGCAAAAGTAGGTGCTGTGCTAGACGGAGTTCTGTGTTGTTAAATATGCTTGCTCCCTTTGTACTTAAGCAGACCAGCAAGTGAGGGTGCTGTGGTTGCATACCTTACCAGTTTCAGTAGTTCAGGCCAGAACTACTGCTGGAAGACAAAAGTATAGCTTGATAACTGTACATTGCACTGAACAATTTAGTCCATCAAAATACTGCACCAGAAGTTTTGCACGATTTATTGGTCTTGTTGATGAACACCCTTTTCAAATGTATTCTAACAAAGTTCTAAGGTTATTGAAAGGTGTCAGTTCTTGTATGTGTTTGCCTTTACAGTTGAAAATGAAGACATTATCTGAAATTGGATATTAACAAATACAGATGACATTTTTTGTTGACTTTTGGTTTGGGTGTTGTTTTGTGGTGGTTGTTTTAAGTCTAGAACCCTTGCTGTTACTTTTCTCTGGCTGTCCATTCTATCCTTTTTCTCTGTATACATTGGAAGGAATTGCTGTAGGTATTGCCTATTTAGCACCTATTTGTTCCACTGCAAGTTTGGTTTTTAACCCAGGTGGCTCAACACTTGTAGCCAAGTTCTGATCCACTGAAAGCAGATTATTAGAGTGTAGATTTGTGTCTTGGGGAACAGCATTATTTCTACTGGTGTTTGTAGGAGCCAGCTCTGTATTGGCATTCATCTTGGGGTAATTTCCTTACCCTGAACAGAGAGTACTAATTTTGGTGCTAGGGAAGAAGAAAGCAGGTTAAAGCAAACATTGCCAAGTGCTTAAGAGTCGTAATATATGTTTGGAACAGTTGAGAGCAAGGGTAGTTGTGGAGCAACTCTGAGCACTTACTTTTCTGTTTCTCTGCAGACAATACAATGTAGATTATAAACTGGAGACCTACCTGAAAATTGCCAGGCTGTATCTGGAAGATGATGACCCCGTGCAGGCAGAAGCTTACATTAATCGAGCTTCCCTGCTTCAGAATGAATCAACTAATGAACAGCTGCAAATCCATTATAAGGTTATTTGACTTGCTTTATTGCTTTCTTTTTCTAAAGGGAGATGGTTCCACATTGAGATGGTTTTATGCAATGCCACTAAAATTTTCATCATGAGGAAGTAGACAGGGGAAAGCTTCTACATGGTTTGGGGAGCTTGAGAGCCACGTCTTGGCAATAATTAAACAGCTCATTCATTATGATTTGGAGATAAGTCTATAAAGGTTCCTTAAATACCATCTGTATTGATTGGAAATAAGGCTTAGGCTTCAAAACATTAAATATTGTTGAAAATACTGCCTTCATCTTTATCTGTAAATCTAAGAGGAGAAAAGGATCATGTCCAGTATTAGGGACAAGAGAAGTCTTGACCCCAACAGTAATTAAATAGTGAGTCCCATCCATAAAAGTAGCTTTAATTCTCAAGTAGTAAAGTGACTGCTGACCTTTCTGCTTATTTGTGGGTTTACTGTGTACATAGTTCGTACCCTAATTTGTCAAACCATTTTAGTAACTGAGGTAAGTAGTGATACCTATAGTGTGACAGTACCAGTCAGGTACGGTGGTGTTTAATACTCTACAACACAAAGCAGATGCGCCATGAGCTGTGACTCAGGGTGTGGTCATTTTGGCCGGTTGGTTTTCCCATTTCTTCTTTTCTCCCTCATACTATGTTTTAAAGTGTGCACTCAGTTGGAAGTGTAAATATTTTCTGCAAGAGTTAGAAGAGCACAATGAAAGGGAGAGAAGAAGGATGCTGTTATGGCACTGAAAGGGAAAAGCAAGCCCTTGGAACATAAATTGCTCCCTAAGTGCTCGCTGCCAATGTCAGCAGTGAAGAGGAAGCTTACCTAAGTACAGTATCAGCTGTACAATGTCTTACTTAGTTTCCTGCATTTAGACATTTGTAGTGTTTAACGTGTGAATAGTGCTGGGAAAAGCCCTCTCAGTTGCTTTCCAAGATACTTTACCAAGGGCTTTACAAATCAAGCTAATCGGCTGAAGACACAGGTTTCCCTGGGATGCAGTAGAGCAACATTTATGGGAGCTGTCACTTGATAATGTGGCATAGTGATAATGTTACACACACCTGTTTTATGCAGCCACCCCTGTTAATTTTCTTAGTTTCCTTCTTCTGAGGCAAACTTTCTTTCTAGGTTTGTTATGCTCGAGTTCTTGATTACAGAAGAAAGTTCATTGAGGCTGCCCAAAGATACAACGAGCTCTCCTATAAGAGCATAGTCCATGAAACTGAGCGACTGGAGGCACTGAAGCATGCTTTGCATTGCACTATTTTGGCATCAGCAGGTAAAATACATGTTACCCTTTTGCATAAAAAAACCCAACACAGGTATTTCGTATCCCCTGAAGCGAGTCAGGTTGTGCGTTACTTGTGGAGAGGGATCCAAAATGGTGAACATGGTGTCAAAATTACCTGTTGGCATGTTGTTAGCTCAAGAGTTGGATTTGTTCTGTGTCTTTGCCAGGTGACATCTTGGCTAAAGATGCAAAAGATAGTCAGTGGTAAACAGTGTTTTGGAACTGAACACAACCGAGTTTCTTCTTTGGTAGAGCTTTGTTGCTTAATTGCATGTATTGAAAAAACAAAGCATAACTTCTGTGGTTTACCTCTCAGTGCTTTGATCATTTATGAGGCTTCTTGACTGTCCTAGGACAACAGCGTTCTCGCATGCTTGCTACGCTCTTCAAGGACGAGAGATGCCAGCAGCTCGCAGCCTATGGGATCTTGGAAAAAATGTATCTCGACAGAATTATCCGTGGAAATCAACTGCAAGAGTTTGCAGCTATGCTGATGCCTCACCAGAAGGCAACTACAGCCGATGGCACGTATTTTTGTAAAGCCTCTCAATGCTAGGTGTTCATCCACACGAGTTAGGCACACTGCAGTCAGGAAGCGTGATGGAAAAGAATTGAGTGTTGCCTATCCAATTATTTTAGTATTATTTCCTAGCATGTTACCCTTATGAGTATAGCACAGATTCTTAGCCATAGTTCATCTTTCTGATTGACTATTGGGTTTTGAAATACTCTTGCATAACTTGTAAAACTTTGCTTTCTCTGTCCATATACAGTCCACTGACAACCTCCCAGTATTCCTAACCTTGCCTTGTACTTGGGGTCTGTCCTTTTGAACTTCCCAGTTCTAAGGCAGTGTTATAAATAGGATGCCTTGAACCACATGACATGCATGTCTGTGCAGATGATAAATTTATTTCAACTGCTTCCTGACCTGACAGGAAGATGACAGATGGTGAGGGGATGACTCAGACCTCACACTGTTGATTGTTTTCTTGTCCATCTCACTGTCAGTCTTATGAGGTCTGTTCTTCATGGAACCTCTGAACAGGGAGAAATAACGTGAACTAATGACTTCACTGGAATCCTAAACACATTGGCCTCAATTTTCTAAATTAGAAGAATATTGGAATGGAAAAGTACCTAAGCATGAAATACTTCTTAATCAGGAAAACCTTCCTAGCGAGCAATACTTGTTGATTAAGGACAAATAACTGAAATCACAGAAGTGAAAACTGTTGAGAAGTGCTTGTAACAACAAGCTGCAGTCCTTTCCTTGGTTCAATTAATCATTTATAACCTGTACTGTTTGTCCGTAGGAGTTAAAAGAATGCAAGTTAGGTGACATTTAATAATGTGCTTATCTTCAGCTAGGGATTAAGGAGCAAATGAGTTAAATTATTAAATCAAGAAGAGAGAAATTTAGATGAGGGTTTATTACCATACAAGCACAGTAAGAGAGAGGTTAATTGTACCCCTAAGAGCTGTAATGGATAAAAAAAGCAATGGTCTTTCCATTTGGCAAGCCAGTATCTAATCACAGGACATCACACTCCCTCAATTCAGATGTTAAGTCATGTAGCAAAACCAAGGGCTCTACCTGATTATTCTAGAAATTAAAAAAAATTTAAGTTGCCTGTCTTAAAATCAGCCACATGCTGTCTATTTCTTTTTGTTCACTTTCTTCTGCATAATATAAAGCTATGCTACGTAGATGTATTAGGACCTTCTGCACATGTAACCCTTGGGAAGACAAATATTTTCCGTCTGCTCTACAGTATAAACCAAATATTTCAATCTTATAGTAATTAATTTTTTTTTCTTGTCTAACCCTTAAGGTTCCAGTATCCTGGACAGAGCTGTTATTGAACACAACTTACTGTCTGCAAGCAAACTTTACAACAACATTACTTTTGAAGAGCTTGGAGCATTACTAGAGATCCCTGCAGCTAAGGTATCAGTTTTCTATGTCCTTAATAAAAACAAGGAGCATCAGAGGCCTGAGAAAATAGCTGTTCTAAATCTTAGGAAAATTAGTTAAATATTAGGAAATATTCCCTATTATAAGGAATGTTAAATATCTAGCACGTCTTAGGAGAAGGAAAAGTCCATGATGTGTAAAGAACAGTAGTGGAGTTCGATGCCACTGATGGGATGTCTCATCATTTTATAATAGATGTTGTCTGTAGGCTGTGCCCCCACAGTGCGTGAAGTTGTTGAAGAACCCATGAGGGCTATTAAATCCTAATAATTTTTAATGTATTTCAGAATGGAAGCAGTTTCTATCATCTTTTTCTTCATTATTTCAGGCAGAAAAGATAGCTTCTCAGATGATAACTGAGGGTCGTATGAATGGATTCATCGATCAGATTGATGGAATTGTTCATTTTGAGAGTAAGTTTGACTACAGTTTCTTTTAGCTCCATTCAGAGTGAGCTTTGAGTTGCTGCCTTACAGGATAAGGAAATTAAGTTTCTCAATATCTTCCGTGTGAAGTGAGCTTGCTGTGTCGTGCTGTGGTCAAGAGGTAGCAGAGTTTGCCTCAGTGGAGGACCACACTTCACCCATCCTCCCTTATCTGCAATAAAGTGTGAATTTATTCCATGAGTCTCCTTTTTAGGAACAGGCTCACCAGGAAGTTCTGTGTTCAATTCTACTTGGCAATACAGGAGTTAGGCTTATAACAGAAAAGTAACTGTAGCTTTTGAATACAGAAATGAGCATGATGTAGCTGCAGGGAGCTCTTCCAGTGTAAGGTAGGTGAGGACAGTGGCAGAAGAAAACATTGCAGTTAAAAGACAAGGAAATAATTGCTAAGACTTACTTTGTTTTGTATGGGTTGGCTTTTTTTTCTTGTGTATTTTTTTTGTTTGTTGTTTTCTTTTTCAGCTCGTGAAGCTTTGCCAACTTGGGACAAGCAGATTCAGTCGCTGTGTTTCCAAGTTAATAACCTGCTGGAGAAGATAAGTCAGACAGCACCAGAATGGACAGCACAGGCAATGGAGGCCCAGATGGCTCAGTGACTGTGCAGCCATTTTCTGAATGGAGGCAACTGACTGCCTGCTGTGCTGGAAGGAGGGAACTGAGTAGAACCAAACAACCCACCTTTGTTTCCTCACCTTCTGCACTCACGCTGGCTTAGGACACAATTAGGTGATACCATGTTTGGTGTGACAGTCTCCCTGTTCTCCAGGTCTAGAATGATGCTGTCGCTGCCTCTGCATTGCACTCTGCAGTCCTAAAAGCTGTGGTTTCCACTTAGAAACTGTAACGTCTGCATTAAGCTTTGGTTTTTGTTTATTTAATTCCCTCCCCCCCACCCCGTGTTGCTGTAGCTTTGTAACCCATTACTTCCTATGATGCTTGTCCTGCTGTGAAAATATAAGTGCCATGTTTCTTTTAGTTGTAATTATTCTAATAAAGGCTGGAATGAGCCACTTGATTTAAGTGTTACAGGGACTGTTTTGTTTTTTTTTTTTAAGCAGTAGCTTGCAATACGTTGAATTTTTGGAATTGTCAGTTTCAGTCCCTGAGTTAAATGAAAGCCAACTTTTTTGTTTGTTGTGGTGGTTTAGCCCCAGGCAGAAGC